GCTAGATTTCTGAGACAGCAACCAGCAGAATCATTCATCTTTCTTTATGGAAAGCTGTCTTTATTTGGAAAGCTGATTAAAAGAAATCCCAACTAGAAAGCTTAAATCCACCCACCCATACCTACATCACCAATTATACTTTTACATTATTAAAAAGAATTAGAAAACAGAAACCCAGACCCTAAATGTAAATAGCACAAACTGTTGCATTTATTTGCCCTACAGCATAGATGCTGAGGCATCGAAAAGATAACCAATTTCACTTGCTTTAGTACAATTTGCATTTCTCCAGTGTCTTTCATCCCTGAAAGCCTTGAAGATCACGGAGGATTACCAGAATATAAATGGAAACTACATCCCCAGGTCCAAATGATATCCCAATTCCACACAAAATCTGGTTGTGCCCCAGGAGTAAGTATGTTCTATGTTACCTGAAAAGGTTTTTCAATTTTTCCCCAACTGGATAACTTCTGCTTTTCTTCTCAAACTCCTCGTCGAAGAGGCTGACCGAATATGCTGGACGTTCGATGACATAGCGAGGTCTGGCGTGGCTCATCTCTGGATTATAATTCTTTTCCCCAGAAAAAAAACAGATAAAACAGAGCTAAGAAAGTGGCTGGGGCTGTCCCCACCTGCAGTACAACGGAGCGGACACCTCCAGCGCCTGGGAGCCCTCCTTGAACATCTCCACCCTAAATAGTTTCCCGCTGGTGCAGAGGCTGGCCCTGGGAGTGGCTTCCTGCAGCTCTGGGGGCTGCTGCTCCCCAGCACGGGAGGTTTGCACCAGGATTTTAACATTTTGCACCAGGATTTTGATGTTTTGCACCAGGATTTTGACGTTTTGCTAATGAGCAACATGGTGCGGAGGGACTGGAGCGCATCCTGGGCGGCTGGCAGGTGATCAAGGGTGTTGATCTCGCCTCGGACAGCGACTCCCCTCCTGTCCCAGGCAGCTCACTTGAGCTTTTCCATGTCTCCATTGGCCAACGGAGCGAGGGAGGTTCTGTGGAGCAGACGGCCCTGAGGCTCCTTCTGCCCAAGGTGCTCCTGTCACGTTGCCTGCTGCACTCATTGACACTCAGCAGCCTCCATATTTCTCGTTGTTGTGGCACTTGTCCTTGATTTCTTCTAGGAAATGATGCCCCGAAAGGTAACGTCGCCAACCCGCCTTAGAGGTGACACCAAAACATCCCGCTGGACAAGTCCTGCCCAGGATCTGGGTCTCACCAAAGATGATGAAGTTCAGAGTGCCCTGATTTTACTACGTTAGCAATAACTGAGAAATGGGAAGAAGCGCTACATGTTGGAGAGCCTGGGAGTGGAGGGAGGAAGTGGTCAGGTCTAAAACAAGGATGCTGGTAATTATTTTTGCTATGGCAGTTATCTAAGTGGGTCATTGCCCAACACAGCAGTAGCAGAGGGGGTGGAAAAAGCTGGTAATCCAGGCAGGAGCACTCATCAAGAAATGAAATTCAGGCCGCAGTGATTTGAAGGTGCTGGATGCTCTCCTCTCCTGCCACTGCTGTGGATACTGCTGAAGTCAGTGCACATCTTGACACTGATTTCAGTGGGATGAGGTGAACAAATGTGGGTTTATTTTCACTCCTCCCTGATAAACAGCTCTGTCTGAGCCGGAGCGGAGTGAGTAATGTGGAGCAACACGGCCCGGAAGCCCAGGGCAGGAAGGAAAGTGTGAGGCACGCAGCTTTGGGGAGAATTTAGGTCAGCAGAACCATTACGCTAATAGGAGCTGGGCTGGAAAGGGGCAGTCGTCAGCCCTGCTCCTGCGCCCATCCCTGACGGTCCAGGAGGAGAAGCGGTGCCAGGCGCTCATTCCAGTGCCCTCTGCAGGCACGCACACGCCGGCATCCCGGAAAAACCTGGAATACACTTTTAGGAGGATCGTGGGCTTTGCCTTTTGGAGGATTGGTGCAGGCTGAGCTTGAGCGCTGGCCTAGGCTCTTTCCCATCCCTGTGCTCATGCCAGCAGCCTATCCAATAAACTGTCATTCCCTGGTTTTACTGTCTGTCTGCAGAAGTCTTGTCCCTACCTTATAGCCTTGCTCTACGTTTGTTGCTGAGCAGTTTCCCGACATCCCTGGGCTTTCTCTGGGACTCAGCTTTCCTCTGGATTTCCAGTCCATCCCCTGGAAATAGCCTACAGCCCAGGCCCATCAACGGGCTCCTGAAGGATAATAAACCCAGCCACATTTCTGGTGCAAGTCGCCTCCCTGAGCTCTATTCCTGCTCCATCCCTTGCCGAGCAGCGTGCCTGCTGTCAGGGCTCAATCAGCCGATTGTGTCACAGCCCTTTAATGAAGTTCTCCTGCTGGGCGAAAGTGCTAGCGGTCAGAAAAAATAATAAACAAGGCAAGTATAGAGGGAAAAATATCCCCATGATTAAATTCCATGTTAAACAAACAGGCTGATGATGTCAGCATCTCAGACAGAGTCAAGTTCTTGACTTGGCTTATCATGGCCTTGCCCTCGATCAAACAGCAGGTTAAACCTTTGAGATTTCAGAATTAAAGAGAATGAGCTGGGTGGCTGCTCCCTGAATAAAAGGCAAAACCAACTGTGCTGCTGTTGACGAGATAAGACTCGGTCAAGATGCAGAGCTGCTTTAAGCTGTGCAGCCAGGGCAGGACTGAGGAAATGCAAAGTGTGGAAGGAGAAGACGAGTGGTGGGAAGTTGCTGTGCTGCCCAGAGCAAGTTTTCAAGAGCTCTTTTGCAGCAGGGGCACTCACTGCAGTGCAGGGCTGGCTCTGTGCTACGGGCTGAGCTTTCCAGGAAATCCAGTGTGTTGGTTAGAGCGGGTGATGCTTAACATTGAAATTTGGCCTTGGTTATAAGTCTACTGAGACTAGGGTCTCAGAGAAGTTGTACAACACAAGGTGTTTTAATGTAATGGGATGCTCAGAGCAAATAACAAATCAAGGTGGGACTATTTCACTCCAAAAATATGACGTGCACGAGAGAAATTGTCCCAGAAAGTCACCAGCCAACAGCCCCAGCAGTTTATACCTGGTTAAGCCCTGTCCTGCCAGGCTCAAAAACACCTTGCGTTTACCAAGCACAAACTATGTTTCCCCCACTGTTCATGTAGCAAATGCACTTACTGAGCCCTTATCTTCTGTCCCTGTGCTGGTGATAGCTGTGTCGGGGAAGAGAAAAGTCACATTGAGGTTTCTGGCTAGTGTTGATAGGACCCACTGGCTTCAAGCCACTCTGCTGTGCTGGCATAGCCCCAGGAAAGGGACTCCGGCCCAGGGAGGGTAAATCAGAAGTTAGGAAAGCAATCTGATCTATGTTTTGTGCATAATATAAGGGAGAAAATTCTTCCCAGTGTAAGAGATGGACATTCAGGGAAGCTGTAGCAGAGCATAAATTAAGCCCTCGTATTTTAGGGAGAAAAATTTGGTGCACCAGAGGGACTGTACGATCCTTTCTCCAACCCTTTTCTCTCCCCCCTTCATGCACAAGCATATGCATGCACGGATCTCCCTGCAGCTGATGGAGTCCAGAGGTCTGGACCCTGGTCCCTTCCAAACCTGGGTGAATCTTCACTAGAAAGTATCTTTCCCAGCTCCGTTGCCCAAGAAAGGGTTATAAACAGCAATCCTCCCTAGCCGGGAGGCAAGGTCTGCGCAAGGCGAGCGCAGGTGCAAGGGTTTGGTTGCGACACGAGGACCAAGGTCTCCACGCGGCTTCCCCTGATTCAGGGTTTTCGGCCCAGCGACCAGCCCAACTCTGTGTCCCTGGTGGCGGCTTTGGCTTCGGGGGCCACAGGAGCCTCAGGGCACCGTGGCGCAAGGGGACAAACCAAGGAATCCCTTGCAAAGGGGTGACACTCGGGCGAGGGGGCTCCACGGGCTCTTTGCATAACCCGAGTCCACCGCAACCACTGCCGGCCACTTCCCGCCTCCCCTTGCGACACCACGACAAGGGAGCAGGGGGTCCGGGACAAGCGTGCAAGTGCTCACCGGTCTGGGGTTCCGCCTGGCTCCCGACGGGACACGGTGGCCGCCGGGGACAGCGGGGAGCAGCACAGGGTGCCACCGTGCGCGGGGCTCCCCGCTGCTTTTCACGCCCGCGGTGCCGAGCCGGGCTGGCGGGCGGCAGGACGAGGAGGTTTCTGCTGTCACTCAGCTCAGGTATTTCAAAAGAATGTTATATAATTCACCCCCACTATCGTGCGCCGATCAGCCCAGCGGATCCACCCCCGTGCGCTCATGTCACTCGCTCCGGCCCCGTGTCATTGGAGACAGGCCAGGACCAGAGTCCTGCCGCTGGGTCACACACAGCGCTGGCCACCAAGGGACCCTGCAGGGCACCCATTCAAACTAACTCCTCCACTTGGAACATCTAACAGGGCTTATCTTAACATTAAAACCTCTTTGATCCACCTGAGCGTCGCTTCGGCGTTAGTGCTGAGTGGGCTCATCTGCAGACAAATTAAGTGATTGAGGAGGGAAGCACCTTGTTCTCCCAGAGCTACATCCATATTCCTGCATTCATGCCATAAATACCTTGGTAAAAACATCTTTCCTAGAAATACAGCCGTGCTGGGGAAGGGGAGCAGGTGGAGCTGGGGGCTAGTGGTTGTATTTCAGAGGACTGAGCAATTGGCTCTGTGGCTGCACGCTGAACAAACACAGAATTTGGCCGAGGGTTTGCATGTTTTTTAACCCCTGTCATTTTAAAACAGAAGAGGCTAACGCTAGGCTAGCCCGTAGCTCAGTTATGGAACAGATCCTATCCCAAAGCGGGCTCTTAGCTTCAGAAAAGCTAAAAAAGGAGGAGAGAGGAGCGGAAAGGCAGAGCCTGGCCCTGGGTGACCGCAGAGACGTCTCCGCTTCCCTCCGGCTCCCGCCTTCACATCTCTTGTTCGCCCTGCGCCGCAACCGCAGCTTCCAAGTCCCCCTCCGGAGCAGCCGTCCTGCTCCTCCACTCCCGTCCCTTTGCCACAGAGCAGCGAGGCATTGAATCAATGTTTTCTTTTTGTTTAGATTAAATATTTGGAGTGCTAAATAGGTGATTTCCATAAGGCAGATGGCCCTTTTCTAGTTTTAAGCGCCCCAGCCCGGCGCGGGCGCTGGGCAGGAGCTCGGCGCTGCGCTCTTGTTCTGCTGTCGCTGGGCCGGTGCCAATGTTTGATGTACCACTTCACACGAGTTTCTAACCAAACTAGCTCTGCACTTGGTAACCAGAATAATAAGATCTGCAGACATCTGCCAGCTACTGAAGGTGAAGCCAAAGTGTTTGGCTCAAAGGGATTTTATTAAGTAAAATGCTTGCATTCAGCAGCCTGCCTTTGGCTCTCGTTAGTAAGGTTGTAAATGCAGCAAATGCCACAGAGACAGGGGACCTGCTCGGCACTGACCCCAGGGTAAATGAGCCCAGATTTGGCCCGCTCTTGCTGTGATTTGTGTGATTAACCCACTTGCACCCGCACCCCAGCTCTCCATGGCCTTGGGAGCCAGGTCCAGCATGGGTCCCTGCCAAGAGAGGGCTGGACCGGGTTAGGACAGGGAGAGCAGGGCCCGGCGCGCTGC